ACAGCCAAACGTGGGCTCAAGTGATAGAAGACTTGGATTTCAATCAAATGAGGAATAAATTCAATGAAATGAAGGTTTTCTGCGAAACGATAGACAAAATGCAATGTATTTTGAATACAAATTATAGTGTTTTGAATGAAACGATTGAATCATTAAATGAAATTAATATTATTGATTGCAAACCATTGAAAATTAGTGAGAAAATGATTGGAAATATTAACACAATTAATAATAATAATAATAAGCATTTCCACTGTTTTTGGCCCAATTGTCACTTCAATACTAAATATAAATTCAGTTTAAGTGAACATCAATTAACTCATTCAGAAGGAAAACTATTTAAATGTAATTATAATAATTGTGATAAAAGTTACAAAAGATTCGCCCATTTATTTGATCACAAAAATATCGTTCATTTAAATAAAAGAATTAAATGTGATGTCAAAGACTGCGACAAAACATTTACAAAAAAAACATCATTTAAATCAACACAAAAGTTGTGTTCATTTGAAACAAAAGGCATTCAAATGTGATGAAGAAAATTGTGGCAAAAGTTTTGGTGTAAAATCACATCTGATTGAACACAAACGCATTCATTTGAATGAAAAACCACTTAAATGTGATTTCAATGGTTGTAATAAACTTTTTACACTAAAGAAACATTTAACTAAACACAGGAATAGCGATCACTTGAATATTAGATTTGTTTGTGATGTCAACGATTGTAATACAAGTTATAAAACAAAACAGCAATTAAATCAACACAAAAGTTGTGTTCATTTGAAAGAAAAGCCATTCAAATGTAATGAAGAAAATTGTGGCAAAAGTTTTGATTTAAAACAATACTTAAATCGACACAAACGCATACATTCGGGAGAAAAATCATTTGTGTGTGATTTCAACGAATGTAACAAAAGTTTTGCACTAAAAGGAAACTTAAATCTACACAAACGATGCGTTCATTCGAAAGAAAAGCCATTCAAATGTAATGAAGAGAATTGCGGCAAAAGTTTTAGTTTAAAATCATATCTAAAAACACACCAACTCTTTCATTCAGGAGAAAAGCCGTTTATTTGTGATTTTAATAATTGTAATAAAAGTTTTAAATCAAACGGACAATTAAATCGACACAAAAGTTCTGTTCATTTAAAGAAAATGAAATAATTTTCAAACATTTATTTCAAAAATGATTATAAATTATAACATTTTGTTTCTAATTTTTATATTTGTATTTAATGTTCAATTCTTTTCATTAATATTATGCGATAATCGTATTTAAAGTGTTTATTATTATTAAACATAATTCTAGTATTGATTAATTGTAATTAAATTACTATCTATTTTGATATAATTCTGTTTCAACTCATAATTAAAATACAATAAACACAATTGTGAAATTATGTCAAATCATTCTATGAATAGGCCATCTTATATAACCGATATTTCTAATTTATAATAAAATTAAAATTTTTAGGCAAAATATTAGAATTCAGTACAAATATAATTTCAAGCGATGTTTTATTTTTAAACATTTCACATAACATTGGATTCAATGATAAACTCGTAATATTTCACATGCAATGCATTTCACTATCGAGTCATATAATGAACTCTAAAATGTCTGACATTAAAGTTAAGAGAAATACTTAAATAGCAAACAATGTTTCCCACAAAATGAATATTTTGTATTAAATTATTGATAAATATTCCCAAACATTGGGAACAATAAAAGGGAATAAAAATTATAAAAACTTTATTTTAAAGCAATGAGAGGTTTGTGTGAACAGGAAGTGAGTCAGAGTTGAGTCAATGCTTGAAATCAAAAGTTTTATGCTTTTCTTTGTCTATAAATTGTGGCAAAAGTTTTGATTTTGTCTTTAGTTTTAAGTGTTTTTTAATTATTTAATTGAATTTTGAATTGATTTGTGGTTTTAGTGCCGAAAGTGAACACAATTTACACCCAAATTGTGTCCACATTTTGAATGCGATTTCTTTATCCAAACGTTTACTTCAAATACCAATCAATCGCTTAATTATTGTATAATTTTTTAGTCACAAATTAATTGATGTTTTAATTAGTACTTTATATGATTTTATGTTATATTTTGTGTAATATTGTAAGCAATCGATTAAAACAATTGATTTGTCAATAAGTTGTATCAAAAGTTGTGATTATATTAAACATAAGTTTAACGTAAACCGAAGTTAGAGTTGAAGTGATGGCCACCGAAGACAACGACAGCCAATCTTGGGATCAAATGATACACAAAGACATGACTTTCCATAAAATGTTACGACAATTCAAAGAAATCAAAAGTTTTTGTGAAAAATTAAACAAATTTCGGTGTATTTTGAATACAAATAATAGTGTTTTGAATGAAACGATTGAATCAATAAATCATTTGGATTTAGATATCAATCAAACAATTGATTGCAAAACATTCAAAATCAATCAAACATTGCTTTCAAACAACAAGTATTTTCAGTGTTTTTGGCCGAAATGTCATTTCAAGTCTAAAAATGAAGACACTTTAAGAAAACATCACTCAATTCATTTAAATATAAGACAATTTAAATGTAATTTCAAAGATTGTAATAAAACTTATAAACGGATTTCACATTTAATTCAACACAAAAATGCCGTTCATTTAAATAAGAAATTTATTTGTGGTTTCAATAGTTGTAACAAAAGTTTTACAAATAAAGGAAATCTCATTAAACATAAAAGTTGTGTTCATTTGAATGAAAAGCGATTCAAATGTAATGAAGAAAATTGTGGCAAAGGTTTTGGTCACAAATCAGCGTTAAATCAACACAAATTCAAACATTTGGGAGAAAAACCATTTGTTTGTGATATTAATGACTGTAATAAACGTTTTTCACACCAAACAGGCCTAAGAAATAGGGCAACCGTTTGGAAGCGTTTTGGAAGCGTTTTTCATAGTTTTGAACACAATAATAACTATTACAACTATTTGTTCATTTTAAAGCACTAGTTAAATACTATATGTTATGATTTTTTGACTAATTCATGGTTTTTGTTTAGTCTGCATATTACTATGATGTTAAATGACTCATTTTGCGGTTGCTCTACTAAGAAATCACAAAAATGTCATTCATTTAAAACAAGTCAAACACTTTTACTGCCAAACAACTAATTGTAATTATAAAACGACTCATAAATATAATTTAGCAAAACATCAATTAATTCATTCAGATATACGACAATTCAAATGCGATTTCAATGATTGTGACAAAAGTTATAAACGAAAATCACAACTAATTGACCACAAAAATTGCGTTCATTTAAATAAGAGATATAAATGTGAATTCAATGATTGCAATAAAAGTTTTGCTCTAAAAGCAAATTTATTTCAACACAAAAAATGTGTTCATTTGAAACAAAAGGCATTCAAATGTAATGAAGAAAATTGTGGCAAAAGTTTTACTGATAAACGCAATCTTATGGCACACATAAGCGTTCATTCGGGAGAAAAACTATTTATTTGTGATTTTACTAATTGTGGTAAAGTTTGTAAAACGAAAACATACTTAACTGAACACAAAAAAGTAATTCATTTAAATAAGAGATATGTTTGTGATTTCACTGATTGTAAGCAAAGTTTTAATTCAAATGGAAATCTAATTCAACACAAAAGATGTTTTCATCTGAAAGAAAAGTCATTCAAATGTAATGAAGAGAATTGTGGCAAAAGTTTTGGTCACATATCAACTCTAACTGTACACAAACGCATACATTCAGGAGAAAAACCATTTCTCTGTGATTTTGATCGTTGTAAGAAAGGTTTTTCTCATATATCAAAATTATATCGACACAAACGATGTGTTCATTTGAATGAAAAGGCATTTGAATGTAATGAAGAAAATTGTGGCAAAAGATTTCAAAATAGACAACAACTCAATCAACACAAACGCTGGCATTCGGGAGAAAAGCTATTTAGTTGTGATTTCAATGAATGTAACAAAAAGTTCACAACAAATGGACATTTAAATCGACACAAAAGTGATGTTCATTTGAAGAAAAAGAAATAATTTTTAAACATTTATAAAAAAAATTACTAAATTATAACAATTATAAAACTTTTTAATTCGTTTCACAAATCATATGCGATATTACTTATTATTAAAACGTTTTGAATTATAACTTTAGTTTTGGTTAAATGTAATCTCTTTAAACACAAACGCATACATTCGGGGGTAAAACCATTCAAATGTGGTTTCAATGATTGTTTTGAAAGTTTTTTATTTAAAGAAAATCACATTTAAATTGACACAAAAAAATGTGTTTATTTGAAGAAAAATTTCATTTAAAATTTTATTTTTGTATTTACAGCGATTTATTTTAATCCGGGTCCTTTTTATTCAGTGAGTACCTCCTCTTTCCGCTTCCTCATTGACTGAACCCATACATTACGTTCAGTACACCCACAATATTATCCAATAATAAAGACACACTGAATAAAAAGGACCCGGATTAAAGTAAATCGCTGTTAATATCTAATTTCCAAACATATGAAAACTTTTTTGTAATTTCTAAATACATTTGAATGATTAAAAATGTAAAAATATCTCAAATCTTATTTGAATAAAATTTAACAAATAATAACATCCAATGATTTACTAAATTTTAATTAATATAAATTATTTGCACTTAAAATGAAATTATATTTTGTTTAAATCGTTAAACAGTTAAAACAATCAATGAGTTTGTGGTTATGTTAAGCACCGGTCGATCACTGACTAAATGATTGGTATTTAATACCCAAAAGATGTCACTATTTATGCCAAACACTCATACAATACACCAAATGGTTGTTAACCAATGGTTTCGTTGTTTACCAAAAGATTAGACAATGTTTCCCATCGAAAGTCTGACTCATAGACTAATAGTTGAGAATTATTGGAAAATCCTCAAAGAGTGGGAATATTATTTGGGTATAAATATTATCGAAACTATTAAACCAATGATTGGTTTGGGTTAAGAGAGTGTGAGTCAGAGTTGAGTCAATGCTTGAAATTAAATGGTTTTATGTTTTCAAATGTTTTGTTTATAAATTGCGGAAAAAGTTTTGATTTTATCTTTAATTAAAAGTGTTTTTCAATTATTTAATTGAAGTTTTAATTGATTTGTGGTTTGAGTGCCGAAAGTGAACACAATTTACACCCAAATTGTGTCCACATTTTGAATGGGATTTCTATTTCCAAACGTTTACTTCAAATACCAATCAATCGCTTAATTGTTGTATAATTTTTGTGCAGTTATTATAAATATAATGCGATTATAAGTATTGATACAATTAATAAAGTAATCGATATTTTAATAAGTAGTTTAAGTTTTAATATGATTTTGATGTCATATTTTGTGTAATATTGTAAGCAATCGATAAAAACAGTTCATAAATTGTGGTAAACTTTGTGCAGATTCTAAACCGGATTTACAGCTGAAGTGATGGCCACCGAAGACAACGACAGCCAATCTTGGGATCAAATCAATCACAAAGACATGGATTTGATTGAAATCAAGAATCAGTTGAAAGCAATCAAAATTTTTTGTGAAAAATTAAACAAATTTCAGATCATTTTGAATACAAATAATGTTTTGAATGAAACGATTGAATCACTAAATCATTTGGATTTCAATCAAACAATTGATTGCAAAACATTCAAAATCAGTGAAACAATGCTTTCAATTAATGAAACCAAAAGCAGTGATAATTTGATTGCAATTAATAATACAATTAATAATAATAATAAGTATTTCCACTGTTTTTGGCCTAAATGTGAATATAAGAGTAAAAACAAAAACAGTTTACCTTCACATCAATTAATTCATTCAAATGTTAGACAATTTAAATGTGATTTTAATAATTGCAACAAAAGTTATAAATGGAAAACACAATTATCGAAACACAAAAATATTGTTCACTTGAATTACCGATTTGTTTGTGGTTTTAATGACTGCAACAAATGGTTTACCGATAAATCATATTTAGTTCATCACAAAAGTTATGTTCATTTGAATAAAAAACAATACAAACCATTCAAATGTAATGAAGAAAAGTGTGGAAAGAGTTTTGCAATTAAAAGCAATTTAATTATAAAGGGCTGGTCAAGTAATTTTGACGCTCGCGTTTTGGCCATTACTCCTAAACCATAAGAGATAATTAGATTCTGTAAAATGGATATAATAGAGAATTATCGGGGAAATTTTTTGTATATTTCATA